CCAGCTCTACATTGTGCTGATCCTGCTGCGTTGTGTCACCTTATTGTGAGGTGATTCAACAACCGAGTTTGAAGGCTGTTCCTGCTGCATTGTGCCACCCTATTGTAACGTAATTTGAACTTCTGAGCTGTAAACTTCTTTCGTGGTAAGATTTTACATAAAGTAGATCTTTTGTTAAAATGTAAACATGTACACGTTCTGAGATTTTGTAGAATAAAGAATGAAACATACATAAGTGGCAAACTATTTCACTTTGAAATCGGGGAGCTATGGTATTAACCGATACTGTATATAAATACACAAAACAAACAAACATTTTATTTGTCACGTAGAAAGAATCGTTTTATAGCTTGGTGATTTTTAGTCTACAGTTGTATACTAGTTGTTAACCCTCTGGAAGATATATCACAATCTAGCTTTAAGTGGGAACCCCAAAAATGGTTCATTACTTTAGCTTTTATTGATTGGATTATTTTATTATTTAACGGTGTGAAATTTCATAATACGACTTTTATGCTTACGACATGCAACAATACGACAGTATACCACACCTAGTGAATATGTTTTATCCTTCTAGAGGATTAAATGAACTAATTATTATTTTAATTATTGACGTATTATTTTTTAATAGAATATGTCAAGAGTACCTTGAGCTTTGTGCCATACGACATGGCCAGGTGCAGGTGTAAGTCGTTTTCAAGTTCCTCAAGAAGAAATTAAAAGAAAAAAATGGAGAGAGGCCGGGTGTGTTGAACTTAAACCCAATTCCAGAGTTTGCGAATTACATTTTGATAAATGTGACTTCGATATGGAACCTGGTGCTAAACGCAAAAGGTTGCGAAAGGATGCCATCCCGATGAGGGTGGAATATTTATCCTCTTGGAAAGCACCAGTTCCCATAATCACTTCAAAACAGGATGCTTCAACACAAACCGAGTATGAAAAAAATGCATACATATAAACAAATATTAATGCCAACATATTTACGTTTTTATAGTATTGACCTCACTGTTACGATGCAACTTGAAAATTTAGATTTAAAAGCGCAAATCACAATGCTAAAAGCGCAGGTGGCTGCGCAGCTGAAGGAAGCCAACGAGTTGAAAGCTTTCAGAAGTGGTATAAACATGTATTTCACAGAAAATCAAGTACGTAAATTAAGAAACCCTGCTAAAAATATACATTGGGTATATGAAGATATTGCGTGGGCAATACCATTACATGCAGCAGGTCCTAGGGCATACAACCATTTGCGGGTTTACCGTTGCCCTCGGCGTCCACTTTGTCGAGATGGCTTCAGCGACTGAAGTTTCACGACGGCATTTTAAAATTCGTTTTAAACGAAATGCACGCGGCAAGCACAAATATGGAGTTGGTCGACAGAGTGTGCCTCATTGTCTTCGACGAGATGGCAGTTGCCCCATCATTTGAGCACGACCCACTTACGGACACTGTGAGGAAGCCTGCAAGATATGTGCAAATGGCTATAGCAAGAGGACTCAAGCAATCTTGGAAACAACCCGTTTTTTACGCTTTCGACTGTAAAATGACAAAAAGCATTCTGGAAGGCCTGATTTCCCAGTTAGAAAATGCAGGCTATCCCGTCGTTGGCATCGTATCCGATATGGGAAGTGCCAACCGAGCTCTTTGGAGGCAATTAGAGGTGTCCACGGGTAATTATAGAATTAAGAGCAGTTAAATTTGCATTACTATAAGCAATTAAAACAATTAGGTGCTTTCATTAATTGTAATAATTAACAGTTATTTTTTTACCCTTATTTATACAGAAAAGACATGGTTTTCGAGTCCAAGCGGTGACGGTGGCAGAGTTTTTGTCTTTGCAGACGCGCCTCACCTTTTAAAATTACTGCGAAACCATTTCCTGGACAGCGGGTATGTTTTCCAGAACAAACAAATATGCGCAGAAACGATAGACCAAGTTATGAGATGTACGTCAATGTCCGATTTGTACATCACCCATAAATTGAAGGAGCAGCACCTCACTGTCCGGCGCGAGGGTCGACAAAAAGTGAGACTTGCGGCACAACTGCTATCGCATAGCACTTCTAGTGCAATCAGACGTTGCTATGCAGACTTTATTGAAGTCATCGACAATTGGTTCGACCTTCTCAACAGCAAGCTGAGAACTCCGCAGTGCAATCCGGCAAGGAAACCATATGGGCTGGACTTGGTGCCGCAAAACGCCATTTTAGAGTCCATGAATTGGTTAGCATTGAATGCGAGGGCGCGGTTTCACTACACTCTTTTGCCTTGCCAAAAAGGTATTCTGATGACCAATGCATCCTTAAAAGGTTTGTTCCAGTATGTCCAAGAGAGGTATGAAATGAGGTATATCCTCACTTGCCGCCTCAACCAGGATGTAGTGGAGCACAAAAAGCGTTTGTGAAATCATTGGAGGAGCACTTCAATAAAAATATAGTATGAAAAGAGTGGAGATATATAAGAATAGTACATATTCCAAAAGCGGGTAGGGATCGTGAAAATATTTGCAATTATCGTCCCATATCCCTGATTTCAGTTGTAGCCAAATGTATTAATATGCTAATTAAAGAAGATATAATGAAATTTGTGGAGGATGGTAACATAATACCGCAAAGAAGTTTTGCATACAGGAAGCAGCGTTCGGCAACAATGTGCATGAATCAAGCGCTTCAATTGATAGCAAATAGGAAGAACAGGAGTGAAAAGGGGCACCGAAATTGCGCATATGGAAACTGTGCATTTAGACATTATTTCGGTTTCAACCGAAACTGTGCATGTATGCTTTATTTCGGTTTTTACCATATGCATTATTTCGGTTTTAAACCGAAACTGTGCATGTATGCATTACTTCGTTTTTTTTCATATGCATTATTTCGCTTTTAAAACGAAAGTATGCATATGCATAATTTCGGTATTTTCTCATATGCATTATTTCGGTTTTCAACCGAAACTGTGCATGTATGCATTACTTCGGGTTTTTCATATGCATTATTTCGGTTTTCAACCGAAACTGTGCATGCATGCATTATTTCGGTTTTTGTTATATGCATTATTTCGGTTTTCAACCGAAACTGTGCATGTATGCATACCTTCGTCTTTCACATATGCATTATTTCGGTTTTCATCCGAAACTGTGCATGTATGCTTTATTTCGGTTTTAGCCATATGCATTATTTCGGTTTTGAACTGAAATTGTGCATGCATGCATTATTTCGGTTTTTGTTATATGCATTATTTCGGTTTTCTAACGAAAGTGTGCATATGGATAATTTCGTTTTTTCTAATATGAATTATTTACTTCTACTTAGTAAGGGTTTTAATCCCTAAGCGCGGCTGAAAGCCGCCTACGCAGAGAAAAGTTCTGCGCAAAAATACGTCCGCCCTTCTTTTCCGGCAATACAGAAAGGAGAATTCTACTTAGTAAGGGTTATAATCCCTAAGCGCGGCCGAAGGCCGCCTACGCAGAAAGAAGTTCTGCGCAAAAGTACTTCCGGCCCCCTTTTCCAGCAACACAGAAAGGAGAATTCTACTTAGTAAGGGTTACAATCCCTAAGCGCGGCCGAAGGCCGCCTACGCAGAGAGAAGTTCTGCGCAAAAATACTTCCGCCCTTATTTTCCGGCAACACAGAAAGCAGAATTCTACTTAGTAAGGGTTATAATCTCTAAGCGCGGCCGAAGGCCGCCTACGCAGAAAGAAGTTCTGCACAAAAAGACTTCCGGCCCCCTTTTCCGGCAACACAGAAAGGAGAATTCTACTTAGTAAGGGTTATAATCCCTAAGCGCGGCCGAAGGCCGGCTACTCAGAAAGAAGTTCGTTTTCATGTATGCACTATTTCGGTTTTTGTCATATGCATTACTTCGGTTTTGAGTCGAAACTGTGCATGTATGCATTAATTCGGTTTTTGTCATATGCATTATTTCGGTTTTGAACCGAAACTGTGCATGTATGCATTACTTCGTTTTTCTCATATGCGTTATTTCGGTTTTCAAACGAAAGTGTGCATGTATGCATTATTTCGGGTTTTTCATATGCATTATTTCGGTTTTCAACCGAAACTGTGCATATATGCATTATTTCGGTTTTTTTCATATGCATTATTTCGGTTTTCAAACGAAAGAGTGCATATGCATAATTTCGGTTTTTCTAATATGCATTATTGCGGTTTTCAACCGAAACTGTGCATATATGCATTATTTCGGTTTTTTT